ATGACAACGTTTCTGCAAGTTGGTGTATATTATGTATAGTTTAAAACATGAGAAAGATTGTTTTATCAGGTATAAAGATTCGAGCCGAAGGTGTGTTTTAAACGGCTTCAAAAACTTCAACACTAATTTGAAACTCAAATCCGTTAAAATTCTTGGAGAAATTGCCGTACAAATATGTTCTGAGATTAATAGGGCAAACTGATCATGCGCGAATCACTTTACAAAGCACTCTTGTCATCCCACATTAAATACACATAAAGTAAAATAGAACCGCTGTTGGCTGTTTACTGCAATCGGTTGACATCCTGCATTGGTCAATGATCAGGTCATGGACCTTTATATCTGATAAAGGTCACCCTTATTAGTATTCTTTATATAAAGAATACTAATAAGGAGTGTTTTATCAGATATAAAGGTCCATGCATGTGACCAAATAGGCGCATTCTATTGGCGTAATAACTCATTAATTATGTATGAGTTTTTAAAAATATTATATATCAATCTCCCTGCATGGTTATGGTTTGGTGAATGAGGCGGGCCGATTTATCGATGGATGGTTTGATGATGGTTTTGGGTTTATCGGAAACTATGAGGTAGCTAGTGTAGGATCTCGGCTTTTTCAGGTGAATCACAGTGAAGATAATTGCGAAGAAGTAATATTTTCAATCACTTCGGCGTTTGTTGAAACGAGAGCAAATATGGTATCATTTAAAGAGCATTCAGTTTCTCCGACGTTCGATCTTGCCATGAGACGTTTCCAATTTTGGCAGTAGCAGTTTTTGATTATAATTGACAACATAAATGGAAGTTTTTATTTGAAACTCTTGCCATGCTATTGAGCAAAAATGCTTTTATAACTTACATCATATCACCATGTGGTTAAGCTGTGGTTAAGCTGCTGGCCTCTCATCGCTGTGGTCCGGGTTCGATTCCCGGGCACAGACCATATGTGAGTTTGAGTTTGTTTGCCACGAGGGTTTTTCTCCGGGTCCTCCGGTTTTCCTCCCTCAGTAAAAATCAACATGTGAGGAGTGTTGTGTACTAAAATACTTAATGTAGAGGTAGTGAGTGTAAGAGTACAGGGTCCGCAGTAATTGGCTCAAGCTGTTGCGGTGTCCCTGCCCATACTAGGGGCAAAGCTAATAAAAAAATGCTAATAAGTTTAATTTGACACAAAAAAATAACTTTTCCTAGAATGAATGAGATCGATAATCAGGTCGACGAAGAAAGGAAGAGAGGGAAAGAGGGGGCGATTTAGTTATGGATTTATGAATAGATTGATGGACAAAATGAGGGATTGATAAGATAAAAGGATGGATTGATGTGACTAATGAACGAGAGAATTCATGGAGAAAGGCAGCTGGAAGGAAGGGAAAAAAGAACGAAAAAGTTTTTGATAAATTGAGCGATGCTAAATGAAAAGTTTGGGGTAAAGAGGGAT